CCCCTGCAGGCTCCCTCCGCCTCCAGAACCCCTCCCCCCTTCGGGCTCCACCCCCCTTGGGGCTCCCTCCCCCTCCAGGCTCCCTCCACAGACCAGAGTGGTCTTTTTAAAAAATAAATATATATGTTATATATATATATTATATATATATTTTTTATATGTATATTTATATATTATATATACAATATATAATATATAAAATATATACAATATTATATATAATATATATGATATGTAATATTATATATATAAAATATATATAATAATATATATATATTATATATATATTTTATTGATTTTTTACAGAGAGGAAGAGAGAGGGATAGTCAGAAACATTGATGAGAGAGAAACACCAATCAGCTGCCTCCTGTTCACAGCCTACTGGGCATGTGCCTGCAACCAAGGTACATGCCCTTGACCAGAATCGAACCTGGGATCCTTGAGTCCGCGGGCCGATGCTCCATCCACTGAGCCAAACCGGTTAGGGCCAGCATGGTCTTGATACATCTAGAGTTGAGCTGCCTCTCCCTAGTCACAGCTGCCCCACAGCTCCCAGCACCTTGGACAAAGTTTCCACCCCTAAGCCTCTCTGGGCATGACCAAGTCCTCCTCCTGCCCTCAGGGCCTGCCTCCGAGGTGGGTTCACGGCCTCCCCTGGGCTCTTCAGTGAGCTGATCCAGGTCAGTGACTGTCCATACCCCTTTCTCACACAGCTGACTGCCCCTCCCCTGCTCAGAGACTTCCCATGGCTCCCCAGTGCCCCCGAGAAAAAGCCCAGGCCCCCAGCCTGGCCCTAGAGGCCCCCCTCCCTGATCGGGACACCCCCGGCTCCCAGCCGAATCTCTTCTCTTTGCCACCCAGGCCCTTTGGCCTCGGGACCTCTGCAGAAATGGTTGCCTCTCACTGCTCTGTCCGGTTCTCCCCCGGCAAGGACTCTCAGGCCTGGCTGCGCCCCGGAGTCTGCTCTCGCAGGAAGCCACTGCGGTGCTGAGGTGGCCAGGGGCCTCCTCGGAGCCCGGGCGGCCACCTGTGCCACCTCCGTTACAGTGCAGACAGGCTGGGCTCGGTGCCCGAGGGAACGGCCGGGCCGGAAGTGGGTCCCAGATGTGGATTTCATGCCTGTTGGTCTCGGGGGCTGGGAACAAAGCTTGGGTCGTGAGGAACATATGGGTCTTGCCTGCTCCGCACTTTCATCTCCCACCTTCCCAGCCTCTGGGTGGGAGCAGGAGGCCGGGGCTGCTCAGGCCCCGGTGGTTCCCACAGCCCCTCTGGGCCTCTCCCACCTCCTTCCTCCTCCTCTTCTCTGTGTTCTCGCCCCCTGAGCGCTCTTCTCCTGCGAGAGATGTGTGTTAAAATAATAACCACAGTCGAAACTGGTGTGGCCCAGTGGATAGAGCGTCGGCCTGCGGACTCAAGGGTCCCAGGTTCCATTCCGGTCAAGGGCATGTATCTTGGTTGCGGGCACATCCCCAGTAGGGGGTGTGTAGGAGGCAGCTGATAGATGATTCTCTCTCGTCGATGTTTCTAACTCTCTGCCCCTCTCTCTTCCTCTATGTAAAAAATCAATAAAAAAAATATTTAAAATAAATAAATAATAACCACAAACTCAAATGGCTCTTATGCTGTACCAGGCACTGCTCTAAGCCCATGATGTACACATATGAATTCATTTAACCCTCAGCATGCTCGTGGGTTACTCCCTATCGTTATCATCCTCATCCCCATTTTAGAGATGAGCAAACTGAGAAATGGGAGGATTTGAACCCGGGCATGCTGGCTCCAGAAGCTGTGATCTTCGTGAGAATGGGCTCGGAGCTGGGCCACCCACAGGCCTCCCTGTGGCGAAGGAAATGGCCTGCATCGCTCTGACCAGCCCGCTGAGCACCAGCCACTTGGAATGTGGCGAATACGATGGAGGAACTGAATTTTAAATTTTAGTTCATTTTATTTAATTTAAAAAATATATATTTTAGCCCTGGCTGATTTGGCTCAGTGGATAGAGCGTCCGGCCTGCAGATTGAAGGATCCCGGGTTCGATTCCGGTCAAGGGCATGTACCTTGGTTGTGGGTACATCCCCATGGGGGGGGGCATGCAGGAGGCAGCTGATCCATGTTTCTCTCTCATCTATGTTTCTAACTATCCCTCTCCCTTTCTCTTGTAAAAAAAATCAATAACATATATATACTATTTTATTTTTTAATATACATTATTGATTTTTTACAGAGAGGAAGGGGGATTGTTAGAAACATCGATGAGAGAGAAACATCAATCAGCTGCCTCCTGCACCACCCCCCCATGGGAATGTACCCACAACCAAGGTACATGCCCTTGACCAGAATCAAACCAGAAACATCGACGAGAGAGAATCATCAATCAAATAGGGCAAGAATGTGCTCAATTTTTTAAAACAACAGGAAGGAGGCCAGTGTAGCTATGGGGTGGAAATGAAGGGAAATGTAAGAGGTAAGGTCAGTTATGTGGTGGGAATAGACCATGAGGGCCTTGTAGGGCAAGAATTCTGGATTTTATTTAGAAAGAGATGGGAAGCCAGTCAAGAGTTTTGAGCATAATAGTGGCATGATCTGATTTGGATTTTAAAAAATATGTATATTTTTATTTCAGAGAGGAATGAGTGGGAGAGATAGAAACATCAATGATGAGAGAGAATCATTGATCGGCTGCCTCCTGCATGCCCTCTACTGGGGATTGAGCCCCCAACCTAGGCATGTGCCCTTGATCAGAATCGAACCCGGAATCTTTCCGTCTGCAGGCCGGATTTTAAAGCCATCACTCTGGCTTCTGTGTGAAAAAGGCACAGGGAGACCAGAGTGGAAACCATAGTAATAATCCAGGTGAGCAGTGGTAGTTGGTAACTTGGACCAAGGTGGTAGCAGTGAAGATGGTAAAAATGGTTGAATCTGAGCATATTTATTAGACAGTATTACAGGATTTGCTGACGGACTGCACATGAGGGTGGAGTGGTGGAGTGAATGCCCAATTGAACTGGTTTCAAGAGAGGATGAAAAGGACAGAGATAAGGAATATAGCGTTTTTTTTTCTGGAACACAGAACTGTTCTTAGGAACTGCCAGGCTCCTAACTCCTGCTTCAGGAATGCCCCCACATCGATCCAGCTGGAGGCCAGACGCAAGCTCCCTCAAGTATAGGATATTATTGAATATCCTGCAAGCTGTGTCCTGTCCTTTTCAGTCTCATCAGGAGCATACCCTGAACATTTTTTTAAAATATATTTTTATTGATTTTTTACAGAGAGGAAGAGAAAGGGATAGAGTGTTAGAAACATCAATGAGAGAGAATCATCAATCAGCTGCCACTTGCACACCCCTTATTGGGGATATGCCCGCAACCAAGGTACATGCCCTTGACTGGAATCGAACCTGGGACCTTTCAGTCCTCAGGCCGAAGCTCTATCCACTGAGCCAAACTGGTTTCGGCTACCCTGAACGTTTTTAAAATATATATATTTTATTGAATTTTTTACAGAGAGGAAGGGAGAGGAATAGAGAGCTAAAAACATCGATGAGAGAGAAACATCGACCAGCTGCCTCCTGCACACCCCCACCAGGGATGTGCCTGTAACCAAGGTATATGCCCTTGACTGGAATCAAACCTGGGACCTTTCAATCGATGCTCTATCCACTGAGTTAAACCGGTTTCGGCTACCCTGAACATTTTAAAAAATATATGTATTGGTTTCAGACAGAAAGGGAGAAGGCAAGAAAGATAGAAACATCAATGATGAGAATCATTGATCGGCTGCCTCCTGCACGCCCCCTACTGGGGATCGAGCCCACAACAGAGGCATGTGTCCTTGGCCGGAATCGAACCTGGGACTCTTCAGGCTGACACTCTATCCACTGAGCCAAGCCGGCTAGGGCTACCCTGAACATTTATTGCTGAAGAACCCAATCTCTCTATAACCCTATGATCCACCCTAGCTCCCCATTGGCTGAGAGGCCACTTTCTCTCAAGGAAGGAACAGGGTTGTTCCCTAAGCCCAAATGGTCTTCAAGTCATCTCCCTTCTGCTGAGACTTCTTCAAAGCCCTCTCTTAGTGACTTCCCTGCAAAGGTCACCCAAACTGAAATTGCGTTGTTGATTTTAAGTCCAGGGGGCAGAAGTCAGGGTGGCAAAAAAATCCTAGGACATGACATCTTTCCATTCCATCGTATTTACTGTGTCCAGCCTTTTTAACTCCATCCCTCTGGCCTATAGGTACCCGGTTGTTGTGTAGGATGGAATTCTGCCTAGCACCAAGTGATGTCATACTACTCTGTGGCTTGCAATTGGCTATTCTCTCGGGAAAGGGCTTAGGCTATGCTTCCAGACTAGGTGGACCCCACTCAGAACCACTGTCGGATATTTATTCCAAAGTCTTTTTATTTCCTTCTCAGAAACCACCCTGAGATCCTTCTTAGAATGGAAAGTTTCCTAAATCTGGAACTTTCTGGAAATCTGGCACTGCCATCCTGAAAAGACACATTCCCGCCTTTTCCAGCCACTGTCCGCAGCCCCTGGCTTTCACCCAATCATTGGGCAACACAATCTGCCTAGCGCTTAGTGACGTCACCTCACCTCTTTCATTGGATTGGCCATTTTCTCAGGGAGTAGTAGCCATCTTCGGACTCCTCCGATTTACTCGAGGCCTTCTTCATTCGCCCCTCAGAAACCCTCCCGGCACAGATCAGGGGTCTGTAGCCAAACCCCCTCACGACTTAAGACTTTATTGAAGAGACTGGTTTCACAGGACACGGGCCGGATGTGCAGCCAGAGAACCCAAGGTCCCGTTTGCAGTTTGCAGCTGCCTTCGGTTCAGAGGCCTCCCTGCCCGCACGGTGCTGGCGCAGGCCAGTGACGTCAGAGTCACCGCGAGATCTGATTGGCTCAGCGACGCGCGCCGTCGAGGTAAAATGCTCTGCTGGTGGCTCCTCCTGGCACGTGGGTTGGCTTTCGAGGCCGCTGGGCTCCGGGCTCCGGCGCTAGGCCGGGGTCGGAGGCTCCAGGGCGCGGCAGCCGCCTGCTCGCTCCTCCCGCTGCAGCCGCCGCAGCGGCCCGGCCCAGCGCGGCCTCCAGGGAAGTGCGAGGCCGTGGCGGTCGAGGACGAGGCGCGCGGGGTCGGGTTGGCCCGCCGCGCTGCCCAGCACCAGGTAGTGGGAGCCGGGCTGCAGGCGGAGGCAGCCGCAGGCCAGGTCGGCGCCGGGCACCCAGGCCTCCTGGCCGCCGCGGCGCACGGGCCGCGCCCGCTGCCTGTACACGGCCAGCACGTGCAGGGCCAGCCGCCGCCAGGCCTGGCCCGCCGCCTCCGCCGCCAGCACCTGCGCGTGGAGGACTGAGTGGGAGGCGAGAGGTCAGGCCCAGGGTGCCGGGGAGCCTCCGGGGTCCCGTGGGTCACTTCTGATGGGGAAGGGCTGGGACCTGAGGGTGGGCTTCCGGGATCACATCTGGAAGGGGGTGCGTCTCTGTGGGAGTGGGGCTGAGGCTCAGACAGGGGACCCTGAAGCGAGGCGGAGAGGGTCGGAGGTGGGCAAGACAAGACAAGGGCCCGGTCCATTCAACCAGGTCCCCTTTCTCCTCCCGCCCGGGAGGAGGCCCCTCCCTCTCTCCGACACGCAGGCTGACGGAGATCGTGAACCTCGACAAGGCCAGGCACAGAGGGAAAGAGGAGGCGTAGTGGGGGAGGGGACACTCCCTCCCAATGCCCCTAACCCCCACTTGTCTTTGGTCGCATGAGGTCCCATAGCAGGAAGGGCACCCTTCCCATTGAGGAGGAGTAAAAGGCCAGGGAGGGGTCTGGCATGGCCTCCGGGCACCTCTGCGGCTGCGGGCCCTTTCCCCGCCATCACTCACCGTAGTCCTGCTGGCAGTACCTCCGAAGGCTCATGTGTACCCTGGTGTCCGAGACATTGCAGTAGTTGTGGCACTGAGGGTCTGGGGAGGGTCAGGCTGTCTGCAGGGGGCTCCTGAGGCCGGGACCACAGTGTTCTGTCCCTGCCCAGCCCCCACACTCCGTCTTGATGGGCAGCTGGGGTGCTCAGAGCCTGGGAGGGAGCTCCATGGGCCACCCCCGTATCCCCACTGGGGAGCCCAACCAGCCCACCCCCAGAGCCTCTCGCCGGTGGGGATCTCCACGCCGGCCTGTCTTACCGGAGCTGTAAGCACTAGAGGTGGTCGCCAGGGTGGTTGTTGCTTCTGGGATTCCTATGAGAGACGGGAGGAGAAAATTAACCTTCGTTCCTTCCCGCCTTCTCCCCCCACTACCCCCCAGGAGCCCAGCTGTCCATCTGTTCTCTTCAGGCGTAAGAGGGCAAGCACCCTTTGCCCTCTCTCCAGCCCTCAGTCCAGTCCCGGCCCCCTCTCCCTTCAGACCCAGGAATCTGCACCCCCCAGTCCCGCCTCCCTCCGATGGAAGCGTCCAGGCCCCCAGCCTTTTCCTTTCTGAGACTGAGACTGACCGAGGAGACTGGAATTTTTCAGTCCTCACTTCCCCCAGAAGCCAGCGCCCGGCCTCCTGCCTCTCGCTCCCATCCCGGGACCCAGCCCTCGTCATACTGGTCCACCGGACATCCGGGGTGTCTCATCCCGACCCCACGCAGGACGGGGGCCCCGCAGGACGCACGCTGGCAGGGCATCCTGGGGGAGCGGCTCTGCTGGTAGCCAGGGCCGCAGCGGCTGCAGGTCAGGCCGGTGACCCCTATCTTGCAGGAGCACTGCCCGCTGGTCTGGTTGCAGGTGCCCCCTGTCGCCCCGATAGGGTGGCACTGGCAGGCTGGAGGAAGAGAGGATCTGGGATGGGGGGGCTGTCTGGGCCCTAGAGCCTCCCTCTCCGATCCCCAGCCCCTCCCGCCTCGGCGGGACTTGGGTCCGCACTCACCCCTGCAGGCCTTGCGGCTGGTGATGGGCTGGCCGGGGTCCCTCCAGAACCCGGGCTGGCAGTAGTGGCAGTGCCGCCCTGCTGTGTGGTGGCGGCACCGCTCGCAGACGCCGCCGCTGCGGCCCCCCGACAGCCGGAACAGCTCCGCGTTGAACCTGCAGCGGCGGGCGTGCTGGTTGCAGGAACAGGCTGGGAGCGAGACGGCGCCCATCAGACCCCGGCTTTCTGTTCCCTGTCCCGTTTTCTCCCGCTGCCCCCCGGGAAATGGACGGGGGATACAACGTAAGAGAGACTGCCAGAGGGTACCGGGTTAAGCCTGGGTCTCAGAACCTCTTTATTCTCGTCTTTCAAATGGGGGCACGGGGGCCGGATAAGCCCACGGGGACTGATGAACCCGATGGTGTGAAACCAGGGCGTGGGCTACGGAGTCAGACCCTACGTGTCCGTGTCCCACGCCGTTCCCTGGGCATGTGGCTACTTCTTTTCGTAGCTCAGCTTCCTTTGCCGTGAAATGACACTTACAATATCTGCATCATGCGGTTTCAACGAAACCTAATAGATAGAAAGCGCTTAACGCAGGGCCAGACACACCGCATGCACCTGCCGTTAAAGCTTCCGCGGCCAGGTGCCCGGTGCTGCGTGCCCAGTGTGCAGCATTCTCACAGCAGCTCTGTGAGGCTGGCACCATCCTCACCCCCATTTTACAGATGTGGAAATTGAGGCACAGAGAGGTGAAGGCACCTGCCCAAGGTACCTCAGCTGAGAGTCGGTCAAGGGCAGGATTGGAACCCAGGCCTTTGGGTTCGGTGAGGGCTGTGAGCCTTGTCCTGGGAGCCCTGATCTGGTGTCTTAAGGCGGTAGCTCTCAGATCTTACTGTTTACAAGAATTCCCCGGGCGAAACTTTGAAAAAGAACAACACAGATTCCACCCGCAGGGCTGCTGGGCCCCGAGATCTGTACCTCTAGCAGGCACCCCAAAGTGAGATGCTGATATGGCAGGGAGGGGGGGTGTCCGTGGACCACTCCTCGCAGAGATGGAAGGGGCTGTGGACGCCACGAGGTGGAGAGGCTGGGCTGGCAGGTCCCGAGAGCCAGAGGAACAGTGGGAAGGTCATAAGGAGCCGGGGTATCGTGTGTTCTTGGGAAAATGGCCCGGCCTCTCAGAACCTTGGCTTCCGCCCTGTTCCGTGGGGATCTCAATGAGCCATCGGGGAATTAGTGCTGGCCTTTGGGTTCTTTCTGGCGGGAGGGTGATCACATCCCCTCACTCCCCTCTGGAGAGCTCAGGTGGGGAAGAGGTTCAGGCCACCAGTTCCGGGAAGCCTGGAGCTTCCGCACAGGGGTTAGTCTCACCCTGTCTCCACCCTTCTCCATCCCAGCAGGTGGTCTCCTACTCAGGTTCAGAGGGAGGTGCCCAGCTCAGCCTGGTTTTGTGTGTGTGTGTGTGTGTGTGTGTGTGTGTGTAGGGGGGGGCGGTGATTCGCAGAGGGACAGCCTCCCCCCTGCTCCCAGGTTCTTCCCAGGCCATGTCAGTCTCCCCTCCCCCACTCAGATCTGGCTGGTGGGAAAGGATCAACTGAACAGAGGCCCTGAGGTGGTGTGGGCAGAGGATCAAGGAGGGCCCCAGTGAGGGTGAGGACAGAGTGGGGAGCTGAGGACAGTGGACGGTCTGTAAGTGAGTCATTGCAAGAAGAAATGGAGGGTGAAAGGGTAAAGAACGTGGGAGGTAGAGGGAGGGGGGTCCAGGAACTGGGGTGCGTGTTTGTGTGTATCTTTGTGCCTCTGTGCCTGTGTCTCTCAGTGGAGTGGGGTCACCTCGCAGGGTCTGGTATCAAGCACATCAGACCAGCTAGCAAGGGCAGCCAGCTGAGGAGGGCTGTCTGAGGAGGGGCTTCTGCCGGGGAGGGAGGGTCCCAGACTCAGAGCTGCCATCAGGCTGAGGGGCCGGCCTGGGCCTGCCCAGGGAATGCTGGGAGCGGCCCTGCTGGCAGCGAGACTTAGGGCAAGTGATGGATGCGGGCCGGGCCTCGCCTCCGTATCTGGGGGATGGCAACATTGGCAGAGACCCCACTAGCCCTTCCTGTGTGCCAGGTACCCCATGAGGCTTTACTCCAGGCAGGGCGGGGACCCCTTTTCTGCCAGGGGCTGTTTGGATATTTATAACATCATTCAAGGGCCCTACGATATTACCCACTTAAAAATCAGCCTGCTGTCGTTGGTCAAACATTTAATTAACAATTAACTCACCCCTAAGGCCTTGGCAGGGCCAGGCCACATGATTTTCCAGGCCTTAGAGGTCCGAGGGCCGGACATTCCCCACCCCTGCTCTAAGGGACTTCCTGCATATTAATGAGCTCATGGTTTCGCTGCCGCCCATAAAGGAAATACCGTTCCTGCCCCCGCTTTGCAGGTGGGGAAACAGAGGCAGAGAAGAGGGTCACACCGGAGGAGCTGGAATGCGAGCCGGGCAGGGAGTCCTGGCTGCTGCCCGAGGACACGGCGTGTGACCTCGCCAGACAGGAGCTCGGCAGGGACAAGCCAGGACCCCCGGTCCAGCTTCTGGCCCAGCCACTCACTGGCTGTGTGTCCTTGCAAGAGGGACTTCCCCGCTTAGCCTCGTCTCCTCGTCTGTAAGATGGGCCTGATGGCAGTGCTTGCCTGGCCATGGCTGCACAATGAATGAGTCAGGGAAGGGCCCGTGCCCCATTCCTATAACCTGGCAGTCGGTGTCCTCGGAGCCCCTGCAGCAGGCCAGGCCCGGGGATGGGTGCTGGAAAGATGTCATTCATGCCATTCTCATTGTGATGGAGTGTGAGGGAGAGCAGGAGCCCCCTAATGGGCAGGCAGGCACCTGGCAGGCTGTGGGGGGAGGCTGTTCTCCCCAGCTGGAGAACAGCGAGGGGAGAAGCAAGGGGCAGGCAGCTCTGGGTGGGAGAGCACCGTGCCCCCAGGGACCAGGGACCGCGGGCCCGGTGGCGGATGAGGGTGGGGAGAGCAGGCCCAGAACTCACGTAGGCAAGGGTGGGGGTGCCAGGGTGTGGCCGGCCGCCAGGGCCAGTCTCGGTGGGACGGGCGGCAGCTCTCGCACCCCGGGCCGGTGGTGTGGTGGCGGCAGCGGCAGCGGGGGGGCCGGGCGCGGGCGGCACAGCGGGCGGCGTGGCCATGGCACTGGCAGCGCCCTCTCACTCCGGCCGCCGCCAGCCCCGCCCGGCCCCCGAGCTCCACGCGGAGGTGACTGGCCACCACGCTGGCCTTCGAGCCCGGCGGGGCACGGAAGGTCACTTTTTCGGGGCCCCCCAGGGCGCCGGGCCAGGCGGGCCTGCGCCACAGCGATCTCCAGGGGCCTCCCACGGCCCAGGCGGCCGACAGGACCAGGGCCGGGGGGCCCGGGGTGCAGAAGCGCAGGCTGACGGACGCCAGGAGGAAGGAGCCGCCCAGGGCCAGGGTCAGGCTGCCATTGCAGGGGGCCCTGCCGCCCGCCTCGGCCCCCGCGGCCAGGGCGCAGGCCTGGGGGCAGGAGGCCGCCGCGCCGGCCAGCTGGGTGACGGGTGGGAGGCAGAAGCGGGGGCGGCCCCCCGGGTGGTAGCATGGGTCTGAGGTGGCCTGGCTCAGGAGGAGCAAGAGGGCGAAGGTCACGGACATGGTCTCCGCAGGGCACACACCTGGGAAGGACAGGAGGGGCCAGGCTGAGAGCCCCCCTCCACCAGACCCCTGAGACCCCAGCATTCCATCCCGCCCTGCCCCGGCCCCCTCCCGGCTGCCTGAAGCGAGGAAAATAGTTCCATCTGGGGAGAATTACTGTTTACACAACCCAAAGGGGAAAGAACGCAAGCAAAATCGAGAATTTTGCCTGAACTAATCCGTAGCTTAACACCCCAGAGAGATCTTTCAGTGTCGGGGGCAGGGGCCCTGGGGAGAGGGCGGGGGGCGGGCAGGTGGCGAGCCTGAGGTAGGGCAACAGATCAGGGTCGTGGGTCAGAGCTTAGCAGGGGAGGGGTGTTTAGAAATGGATGGAGCTCTCAGACAAAGGGCCAGAGGCACAGCCACAGAGAGACAGGAGGGGAGAGCAAGCCCTGGGGACGGGCCGAAGGGAGGCGGGGAGGCCCGGGCGGGCAGCCCAGCACCCAGCGTCCACGGGGAGGCGGGCAGGGCCCAGGGCGCTAGGGCTGGGGCAGACAGGCAGACGGGCTGCGGCTGCGGCGTCTGGGATCCAGAGCACAGACAGCTCAGCGGCCGGCCAGGCCTGGCGGCGGGAAGGGGCGGAGGGAAGGTGCGGGCGGGCGGGCGATCAGAAGCTGGAGGCCAGGCCCCGGCCCGCAGGGATCAGAGTGAGCCCCTTTCCCACGTGGAGCCCTAACCTTGTTCTCCACACCCCGGGCACGGAGGGGATTATGGCCAAACCACTGGGCCTCCCAGCCTCCACGGCCCTTAACCCTTTCCCCCCTGGGTGCAAAGCCCAGAGAACCGTGCTGAGGGGAGGACAGACAGGGGTGGGGGGCCGGGGAGCGGGTGCGGAGCCTGTGGGGCAGGGAAGGCAGATGGTGGCTTCCCCCAGGACTCCTTGGGGTCTGAGCAGATCCCATCAGCTCAGCCTGCAGGCGGCTGCCTTAGGCCTCAGGGCACAGGCGTCTGACCCCCCACGTTCAACACTGCTCCTGAAGTCCCCAGAGCAGATGGGGGGACAGATGTTGGGGTGGTGTGTGTTGATGGAGGAGGGAGAGCCGCAGGGCAGGGCCGGGTTGTCTAAGGGGCCAGAAGTCCAGGCCTCAGGATGGCAGAGCCGGGAAGGACTTGGCACTGGAATGCCCCCGCCCCCAGGACCGCAGCCCCTAGTGAGGCTCACTCAGGTCGGGGTGCTGGGACCTTTCTGGGCCTCCCTGCCCAGCGCCCTGGCTCTGACTTGAGACCTGGGGGGAACTGGGGTTCCAGCCTCTCTCAGCCTGATCTCACAGTCGCCAATGTCCCCAGTGCTGTCGCCGCGTGCAGAGACTGCCCCCCTCTCCCCCGTGACGGGCACCGCCCTCCGCCCCTTCAGAGGAGCCTGGCGCCATTTTGCGCTCGGGCGGCCGACATTTGGCATCTGCCCGGAGTCAATGCGTGGAGGGCCTAACCCCACACCCCTCCCGGCTCTCCTCCCCTGCCCTCCCCGTCAGGCCACTCGCTGGCCCTGAGCACCTTGGGCAACCAGACCGTGAGTCCCCCTGCCCATTGGGGACCCGGATGGCCAGCCCCTACCCCTTCTGAGGAGCCCGGAAGGCACCCCTGCCCACTGGGGACCCGGATGGCCAGCCCCTGCCCCTCTGGGAGCTGGAGCGCACCCCCAGCCCCTAAGGAACAGAGTCTGGTTGTGCTCCCACCAGACACAGAGCCGAGGACTCTGGCCTGGGGGCAGCGTGAGGTCCATCTGGGCCTCAGGCTCCTTCCCCCCTGGCCCCTCACCCCCTCGCCCCTCACCACCCCACCCTGCTGTTTAGCAAGCACCAGCCCTTCTCCCCTGACTGATGGGGTCAAACCTGCGCCGGGGAAGAGAGCGTCCTCTCACCGGTCTCCCGGCAGCAGCGTGGCAGCCGGCGGCCCTCGGGAGTGCGTGCTGAGTGGCTGTTGTCAGGCCCCGGCTCGCGGGGGTTCTGGGCGGGAGCTCAGGGCTGAGCTGCAGAACCCAACACCACCACCGCCCCCCTGCCCCATCCCCTCACCAGCCCGGCCTCCCTCTCCCCGCAGGGACCCTGCCAGCCGCCACCCGCCCAGCCCGGCCACGGGGACCGGGAGCTGCGCCCCAGGGGCCCGAAGCTGGAGCCGAGGAGGGCCCCAGGCAGGTAGGATGGGCCGGGCGGGGCCAGATGGATTCCCCGGGCCTGGGGTCCCCGCTGCACTCACTCGCCCCCTGGAACTGCCGGCGGCTCAGCCCCTCCATGCGGTGCTGTGGGCCAGGCCCCTCACCCCGAGGCGAGGCGGGCCGTGCCCCCACGCCAGCCCCTCCTCCCTCTGGAACCTTCTGCCAGCTGCCGGCTAACTGCGCGGCCAGGTCAGTGGCTTTCCTAAAGCCGGGCGCTCTCGGAGGGCTCAGAGCGGCCGCTGGGAAACCCGAGGCCGGGAGCTGCTTCTGAGGTGGGCACGGGGTGACCGGGCTGCTTCGGGCCTCCGTGGCTCCAGCAGCCGAAAGTGGGGACCCCGAGGAGGACAGAGCTCAAAGCCAGCCTCCCCCAGGGCCAGATTCCAGCCAGGCCCCGGTGCTCCAGCCGCGAAATTGTCATGCAAATGCTGCTGTCAACTCTCTTCCCCACTGAGTGGTTTTGACTAGAAAAATACAGTTTATGTCACCTCAGCGGAGGAAAGCTGGGGCCTGGGAGGAGGCGCAGGTGTGTGCCGCTGAGGCCTCCAGGGCCTTGGCAGTGGCTGTGGCACCGCAGGGCCCCACCCAACAGGGAGCCGGACCTCTGTTCAGAGCCAAGCAGTCCGCGCTTCTGGTTCCGGGGAGGGCCGGCCCGTGGGAGCCAGGACAGGGACTTCGGATTTAAAAATTATATATACATATATAATTTATTATTTTAATCCCTACCCAGTTTGACTCAGGGTCCTGGGTTCGATTCCAGTCAAAGGCACATGCTCGGGTTGCAGGGCTGATTTCAGAGAGGAAGGGAGAAGGGAGGGATAGAAATATCAAAGATGAGCAGAAACCGGCTTGGCTCAGTGGATAGAGTGTCGGCCTGCAGACTGAAAGGTCCCAGGTTTGATTCTCGTGAAGGGCACATGGCTGGGTTGTGGGGCATGCAGGAGGCAGCTCTCTCATCTTTGATTTTTTAAAAAAAATATATTTATTTGATTTTTTACAGAGAGGAAGGGAGAGGGGTAGAGAGCTAGAAACATCATTCAGCTGCCTCTTGCATGCCTCCTACTGGGGATGTGCCAGCAACCAAGGTACATGCCCTTGACCGGAATCGAACCCGGGACCCTTCACTCCGCAGGCCGATGCTCTATCCACTGAGCCAAACCAGTTAGGGCCCAGCAAGCTGCTTCTTCTTCTTCTTCTTCTTCTTCTTCTTCTTCTTTTTTTTTTTTTTAATATATTTTATTGATTTTTTACAGAAAGGAAGGGAGAGAGATAGAGAGCTAGAAACGTCGATGAGAGAGAAACATTGACCAGCTGCCTCTTGCACACCCCCTACTGGGGATGTGCCCGCAACCACGGTACATGCCCTTGACTGGAATCGAACCTGGGACCCTTCAGTCCGAAGGCCAATGCTCTACCACTGAGCCAAACCAGTTTCGGCCCAGCAAGCTTCTTAACCTCTCTGTGCCTTAGTTTCCTCATCTGTAAAATGGGTGTAAAAATGCACCTTCCCCCCAGCGAGGGTGAGGACTGAATGAGGGGAGACGGATCTGAAACTTTGGGCGGATGTCTCAGAAGCTGTGTTGGGGGGTGGGGGGGTAGACACCTCCAGCAGGTCCCTCAGCAAACGTTACTGTTTCTGCAGCAAAACACACGGGCGGGCGTTCACACTAAGAGACGCCCACGGGTGGCCGCACATGGGCTCAGGCCAGATTTTGTCCCCTGATGGGTTCAATTTGGTGGGGGTTGCCACCAATCTCAGGGAAGCGGCTGGAAGGAACTGCAGCCCAGGGGGGTGAGCGCTGAGACCAGCACCTCAGCCCCCACTCCCCACTGTCCTCAGCCTGCAGTTCAGCCCAGGAGCAGCCAGGAGAGGGCGCTCTGAGCGTGGCAGCAGGACTGGCTGCCCGACCTGCAGAGCCCAGTGCACAGTGAAAACCTGGGTGCCTGGTCCACACCACCGAGAAGTCCCATAGGCCGAGAGCAGAGCGTTAAACCAAACAGGGCCTGTGTGACTGCCCTGGTCACACACCGTGGAGGTGGCTCGGGGGGCGGTACCTTTGTCCCGAGCTGGTTCCTCCGCCCCAGGAGCCAGCGCCCGGGAGCGGGCTAGAGGCTGCAGCCTTCCCCGGGGACGCAGGCAGGAGCTGAGGCAGGCGGCGTGAGAAACGTGGGGACAGAGCTGTCCCAGTGAGACGAGGGGCTCTGGGGCGGGTTACCTCGCTGTTTTGGAAACTAAAGCAGCAAGCAAGATGTTTCTTGCCCCAATACTACTGGACTTACAGTGGGGTTACATCCGATAAAATTCAAGGTATCCTAAGTCCAAAATGCATTTAAGAGACTTAGACCACCAGCCTGGCTGGGCATGGCTCAGTGGTTGAGCATCGCCCTGTGAACCAGGGTGTCAGGGCTCAATGCCCAGTCAGGGCACAAGCCGGGGTTGCAGACTCCATCCCCAGTAGGGAGCACGCAGGAGGCAGCCCATCAATGATTCGCTCTCATCGATGTTTCTATCTCTCTCCTCTCTAAAATCAATAAAAATAATATATTTTAAAAAGGAAAGTAACTTATTAAACTGTCAAGCATCATAGCTCAGCCTAGCCAACCTTACCTTAGCCTGCAGTTGGGCAAAGTCACCTCGCTGTTGCTCCCCGCATCATGAGAGAGTACCCTAGCACGTATCGCTAGGCGGGGGAGGGTGTGGGGGGTGGGGTGTGGGGGGTGAAAATTCAACATTGGAAGCATGGTTGCTACTGGAGGATATTGCTTTCGTACCCTGTGTAGCCAAAAAATTGTAATTCGGAAATGTGAGCCAGCTGGCCTCTCTGGGAACTCATGCCACATGGATGGTCCCAGGTCCCTAAGGGGTCAGATTAATCAAGGCAGGAGCCCTGGATTATGGGAGGAGAACTGAGGCAAGCCCACAGAGCCAGTGGAAGCAGAGATGGTGAGGTGGAAGCCGGGTGACCGAGTGGAGGCCGTGTAGCCCAGGGCTTCTGCAAGGGTTTGGGGGACTCCTGAGCTGTAGCCAGTGGAGTGAGCACAGAGCAGGGGCGCACAGAGGAGAGGCGGGGGGTGGGGGAAGGAATGGGGGAGATAGCGGATCAGGACGCGCTGGAGACTGGGGTGAAAGGCCCATATTTGAGAGTCCATGTGAGAGCTGGAGGAGAGCCCGACTCGGAAAGAAGCAACTCCTGCCTTGGCCAGCGTTTCTCAGTGGTTAGAGGGTCAGCCCCCACACCAAAGGGCCATGGGTTCGATTCCTGGTCAAGGACATGTACCTCCATTGCAGTATGAGCCCAGCCGCTGGTTGGGGTGAGAGTGGGAGGCGGCAACCAGTCAATGTGTCTCTCTCACATCAGTGTTTCTCTCTCTCTCTCTCTCTCCTCCCTCCCTCCCATTCTGAAACAGGATCTTCAGGTGAGGATTAACAAAACAAAAGAAGAAGCAACTCCTGAAGAAGGGGTAAGTCCTCCCATTACAAGGACAGGAAACCCAGCTCCCGGAGCCCAGCCACGCCCAATGAGCTGGGTGTGGCTCCACCGTGCAGGCTCCACCAGGAGAGAGCCTGGCACACTTCCTGTGAGCAAATAGGGATTAGCGAGCGCCGGAGAGGGTGTGGAGAACTCAGACCCTCACATGGGGCTGGTGGGAGTGGAATGGCAGCTGCTGTGGAAAACGGCCTGCAGCTCCCGAGTCTATTCAACAGTTAGCACGTGACCCAGCAATTCCGCTCCTCGGTAAATCCCGGGGGAGTTGAGAGCGTCCGTCCACACAGAGATCGGTACACACACGTTTATGGCAGCACTAGTCATAGTCATAAGGAACAAAGAGTGGGAACCACCCAAATGTCTATGGACTGATGAATTGATAAACAAAAGGAGGTATATCCAGGCACTGGAGTATTAGCTATAAAAAGAAATCAATGAAGTGCCGACTCATGCTACGGGATGGATGAGCCTTAAGAACACGATGCTAGCCCTGACCAGTGTAGCTCAGTTGGTTGGGTGTCGTCCTGGGCACCTAAAGGTCACCGGTTCAATTCCCAGTCGGGGCACATACCCAGTGTAGACTCGATCCCCAATACAGGGTGTGCAAGAGGCAGCTGGATTGATGTCTTGCTCTCACATCAGTGCTTCTCTCTCCCTCTCCCTTCCTCTCTCTAAAAATCAATTAAAAAAGAGAATATGATACAAAGTGAAAGAAGCCAGTCACAAAAACCACATATTGAATTATTTCATTTATATGAACTATATAGAGTAGCTAAAGCAGGGAGGATGGGAAGATTGGGGGGATGACTAAGGACCGCAGGGTTTCTTTTTAGAGTGATAAAAATTTTTCTAAAATTTGTAATGGTTGCCCCACTCAGAATATACTAGAAGGCTATTAAGTTGCATGCTTTTTAAAAAATTCTCACCTGCCAAAACTGGTTTGGCTCAGTGGTAGAGCGTCAGTCTGCGGGCTGAAAGGTCCCAGGTTCAATTCCGGTCAGGGGCATGTACGTTGGTAGGGGGTGTGCAAGAGGCAGCTAGTCGATATTTCTCTTTCATCGACGTTTCTAGCTCTCTCTCTCCCTTCCTCTCTGTAAAAAATCAATAAAATCTATTAAAAAAATTCTCACCTGAGGATATTTTTTCCATTGAGTTTTAGAGAGAATGGAGGGAAGAGAGGGAGAGAGAGAGAGAGAGAGAGAGAGAGAGAGAGAGAGAGAGAAAGATATTGACATGAGAGACAAATCAATGGGTTGCCTCTCGAAAGCCCCCAACCAGGGCAGGGATTGAACCCACAACTGAGGCTGTGCCCTTGACTGGGAATTGAACTGCACTTCAGTCCACAGGCTGACGCTCTAACCACTGAGCAACTGGTCAGGGCTGCACACTGTTGACGAGTGAATTGCATGATACTTAAATATCGTCTCAACAAAGTCATTACCCAAAAAATAAGAAGGGCTCATCCTAGACCTTAATATTAAAGCGATGCAGAGAGAACGTTCCAGAAGCAGGAAGTGAAAACTGCCGGTCCCTTAAGTCCTGGCCCAGAAAAGGCACAACCTTGCTTTCGCCACGTTTGACTGGCCGAGGCAGTGGCAGGCCCGCGCCCGGATCCAAGGGAAGGGAAGTGGGGAAGAGTCTGACTGGCAGGAGTCCACCACATCCGCCAGCAGCAGCAGGAAGCCCTGACCATGGCAGGGGCTCTGGAGCACAGTTCCCAGAGGTGCTGTGCGCAACCCCATTGTACGGAGGGGAAGACTGAGGCCTAGGAGTTAAGTAACGTGCTCAGGCAGAGCCCACCCGACCCTGGGCCATCCGGCCTCAGAATCTATGCTCCTGGCCTATTGTGCCGCCTTCCTGGCCTGTGAACCTCCCAGAACACAGCTTCACCAGAAATAGCTTGGCAGTACTTGTTCACACTTGGCATTTCCTACAGATGACAATGCCACTCGTTCAGTCCGCACACAGACCTAGTAAGGCAGGGCTAGGTTGGACCATGTGCAATGGTGTGAAGTCAAAAACGGGCACTTTCCGATGGTTGGAGTCCATCATCCTTTGTGGGAGCCCCTTTCACGTCCCGCGTGGTTCGGGGTTCCTGTTCAGGGTCCGGGGACTGGAGAAGGCCGCACTCAAAATGAAGAGAGACTAGAAAAGAATTAATTTGGGAAATGGGGGGCCAGTTGGGAGTCCACCTCTAAAGGGAGGGCTACCCCTGCTCTGGCTGTGGTATCCCTTTTATTGAGGTTATGAGATACACCTGCTTTAGGCAGGAAATTCCAATAACGGACAATCAGCAAGAATTCACAGATGATTAACAGGTGGAGGCTGCTTTAGCCACCAATGTCTCAACTAAACAGTGAGTGATTAGCTCCGACCATTCAGAGCCATTAAGGGTGGCCAGCCTTCCGGATTCCCTTTTCACATTCTCAGTGACATCGATCGGTTTCCGGCAATCCTTGTTCAACGGGTGAAGAGACTGGGACTCAGAGAGGTGAAGTGACTTGACTAAGGTCACACAGCGCCAGGGAGGGCAGGAGCTGGGACTCAGACCCAGGCCTGAGGTTCCCCAGGAGGAGTTGAGTAAATACATGTATGGGGGGGTGGGGGAGGAGAGGCAGTGAGTCAGTAGAGGACTGTCCAGCCATCCCTCCTGACTCAGTCCTTTCTCCTCCCTGCAGCCACCATGGGCTTCTGGACCATTTGCCCTTCCTTCTCCACCATCATCTTCCTCCTCTTCATCTTTGCGGTGTCCCTAATCTTCCACTGCCACCAGCGCCTGGCCCTGGTGCCCGCCCCCTGGGCCTCCCGGGGCCTCGTGGTCCCGGCCCCCCGGCACCTCCCCCAGGGGGGCATGTTCACCATCAACGCCATCGGCCGCCTGGGCAACCAGATGGGCGAGTACGCCACGCTGTACGCGCTGGCCAGGCTGAACGGGCGGCCGGCCTTCATCCCCGCCGAGATGCACAGCACGCTGGCGCCGCTCTTCCGCATCTCCCTCCCGGTGCTGCCGGCCGCCGCGGCCCGCGGGCTCCCGTGGCTCAACTACCCGCTCCACGACTGGATGGAGGAGCGGTACCGCCACATCCCCGGCGAGTACGTGCGCCTCACGGGCTACCCCTGCTCCTGGACCTTCTACCACCACCTGCGCCCCGACATCCTGCGCGAGTTCGCGCTGCACGACCACGTGCGCGAGGGGGCGCAGGCGTACCTGCGCGGTCTGCGCGTGCGCGGGCGCCGCCCCGCCACGTACGTGGGCGTGCACGTGCGCCGCGGGGACTACGTGCGCGTCATGCCGGAAGTGTGGAAGGGCGTGGTGGCCGACCGCGCCTACCTGCAGGTGGCGCTGGACCGCTTCCGGGCCCGGCGCGAAGCCCCCGTGTTCGTGGTCACCAGCGATGACATGGCCTGGTGCCGCGAGAACATGGACGCGTCCCGCGGGGACGTGGTGTTCGCGGGCACCGGGCGCCAGGGCTCGCCGGCCAAGGACTTCGCGCTGCTCACGCAGTGCAACCACACCGTGTTCACCGTGGGCACCTTCGGCGTCTGGGCGGCCTACCTGGCCGGCGGGGCCGCCGTCTACCTGGCCAACTACACGCCGCCCCACTCCCGCTTCCACACGGTCTTCAGGCCACAGGCGGCCTTCCTGCCCGAGTGGGTGGGCATCGCCGCCGACCTTGGCCCGGCCAGAGAGAACGGCCCCTAGCCTTGCACTCCCTCATCCTCCGGGGACAGGCAGTGTATGGGGTCGGGCACGGGGACTCAGAATTAAACCCCCAAGTTTGAATCCAGGCTGCTCGGCTTCTTGGCTGGGCGACCTCGAACAAGTGGCTTAACCTCTCTGTGCCTCAGAGCGCCACCTGGAAAACGAACAACATACAGAACTCACCTCGGCAGCCGCTCCCAGAACTCAGGTTTCCTTAGAGCCATGGAAACATGGTGAGTGCCAGCGGCCTGGAGGGTGGGATGGAGTTTTGCTCTCTCCTCTGCGGCTCTGGGCCGATGAAGCCATCCCTGCCCTCAACTAAAGGGTAGTGGCTGTTGTGGCAGCTAGGAATTCAGGCTTCGGGGTAATGGGGCCTTAGGAAGACACTAGAGGCCTGGTGCAGGACATTTGTGCACTTGGTGTGGGGGTCCCTCAGCCCAGCCTGTGCCCTTTAGCAGCCTGAGAGCCCTCGGGGGATGTCCAACTGACAGCTTAGGCCCGTTCCCCATAGAACTGCTGTGGAGCAGGAGAGGCTCCCGTGGCTGCTGAGCTCCCCAGCGGTCAGCTCGGCTTCTGGCTGAGCCACATGCCCCCTGTGGGAGCGCACTGACCACCAGGGGGCAGCTCCTGCCTTGAGTGTCTGCCCTCTGGTGGTCAGTGCACATAATAACGAGGGGTTGTTTTGCTGTTTGGTCAATTTGCATATTCCTCTTTTATTATGAAAAGACATGAGGGAAAACAGGATTTGAGGAGATACCCTTGGTGGCGAGGGAGACCCCTGAAATGGGGGTGGGGAAGCCTCACAGTGTTGGCAGGACTCAGGCAGGACTCAACACCAGGCCTGGGGCTGCAGGGGGAAAGCCACCCGGCACCCACAGAGGTCACAGAAGCAGCAGGAGGGACCGTCCACCTGGCTGTCATGTGGGAGCGGGAATGGGGCAGGTGAAGGTGGCAGGTAGATGGCGTCCCCTCCTTCAGGGCTGGACCACAGAGGCCCTGTGGGCAGGCCAGCTGCTGCCATGTGCACAGGTGACCTCCCCCTTGGGCCTGCTGTGCCCCAGGGCTTAGTCCACTCGGAAAAACTCCAATATGGACCAAAGTTGAATCTAATGATTACTCATTCTCTGTGTTCAGTGTCTTTCAAAGTGTGGAGATACCAGTCTTTTTATCGGTGTAATTCTCCTTTTTGGATATTAAAGAAAAACCTCATAACAACACTCATTTATACCCATTTAAAATGTCCACTAAACAAGTGCCCTGGTTTAGATCACATCTCTTCCCTGTTTTAGGTGCTTTCTCAGTGTCTTATTTATTTGAGTCCCCACTTTGTCTGAGGATGGGTGCCTCTCCTTTCGTGTCTTAATAATATTGCATCTCTCCAGAGCCATTTTGGGCCTCAGTCTTATTTGCTGGAGTCTTTGATGGAGTCGTCATGGTGTGAGGCTGACAATGAAGAAACAGGAGAAGGGTTGGGGAGGAGGGGAAGGAGTGGTGTAGAAGGAGGTTCTGTATTAGCTATCTATTACTGAGTAGCAAACAACCCCAAACTCAGTGGCGTAAAAGGACAACAATACTTCATTATTTCTTACAAGAGGCCCAGTACATGAATTTGTGCACCAGTGGGTTTCCTCGGCCTGGCCTGTGGGATCAGGCCAAAACCAGCTCTCCTTCATACCCCAAGGGGTTCTGGATTGTGAGGGCGTGCAGGCCAGGCCGAGGGACCCCACCAGTGCATGATTGGGGCTGGGAGGGGACATGCAAGGTTGGCCAGCCTGGGAGAGACCACATGAGGGCTTAAGGGCGTGTCCGGGCTGTCTCACTCAGTCCTGATCGGCCAGACCCCAGGAACAACCTTACCTACCAGTTGGAGCATCCTCCCCCTAGCGGTCAATGCATGTCATAGCAAGTGGTTGCGTGGCCTTAGCATACCATTAACCTATTATGCGTTGATTGGTTGAACGGCATACTGGCCAACTGGACACTTAGCATCTTAGGCTTTTGTTATATAGGATTGTTTCTGGGGGTCAGGAGTTTGGGAGGGGCTTAGATGAATGATTCTGTTTGGGATGCCCAGTGAGGTTACCGTTTGGTGCCAGCAGCCTGGGCTGCTGTCATCTGAAGGCTTGACTGGGGCTGGGGGATCCCTTTCCGTGGCTGGCAGTGGGTGCTGGTTCTTGGCTGTCGGTCACATCCTCTTGGTGTGAGCCTCTGTGGGGCTGTTTGAGTGTCTTCACAACATGGCTGGGACCCTGAGCGATGCCTCCGGAATGGGGGTGTTATGCAGAAGGAATTCCCACACTGCCATGTGGCTCAGACAGAATTTCTTGCTGGCTGAATGAAATGAGGATGTGTTCTCAAAGTCGAGTTGATTCACAGAAAATAATGAAGAGATGTGATATTTCTCGTAGACTTGACAGACTAAGATGAACTCACCGAGCCCCAGCCAATGTGGCTGCATTGATTGGACGTCCTCCCATGCACCCAAAGATTGCCAGTTCCATCCTGGTCTGGGCACAAGCCTGGGTTGCAGGTTCAATCCCCAGTAGGGGGCGTGCAGGAGGCAGCAGATCCATTTTCTCATTAATGTTTCTCTCCCTCTCCCTCCTCTCCTTCTAAAATCAATAAAAACATCTTAAAAAAAAAAAAGGAAAAAAAAAGATGAGCCGGCCCACATGGCTCAGTGGGTGAGTGTCAACCTATCAATCAGGAGGTCATGGCTCGATTCCGGTCAGGGCACAGGCCTGGGTTCCAGGCTCGATCCCCAGTGTGGGGTGTGCAGGAGGCAGCCGATCAATGATTCTCTCTCATCATTGATATCTCTGTCTCTCTCTCTCCTTCTCCCTTCCTCTCTGAAGTCAATAAAAATACATTTAAAAATAAAGATAAATGATGAAACCAAAGAGCTACCGTAGCACCTGGGCCCGGGGCCTGTGTCCCAGTCAGACCAGGGCACCCAGAGTCCAGTAACAGGAGTTCCGGCTGAGTCAAGCGGGTGTGACCTGCTTGGACCTGGGGAGCTGCCAGGAGCTGTACAGGCGTGGACCTGACACAGCAACGTGCCGCCTCCCACTCAGGCCCTCCAACCTCTGGCCCATCTGGGTCACCTGAGAGCTGTTTTTTCTTTCTTTTTAGAAAAAACTCCGCCAGGACCTGAATTGGCCTCTTGGGTCACCCCTAAGTTACACCCCCTTGAACTGGAATGAAAGAAGCCAGGAAGGCTTGCTGTCCCTCCCAGGAGCACCCCGAGCCTGCCCCCTTTCATCTTCCCCCACAGGCCTTCATCTCCTAACTCTAAGGGACCCTGCGAGGCTGCAACCAGGGCAGCAATGGGCAGCGGCAGCTCATCCCAGACAAACCCCCTGGGCCTGTTCTAAAGGGCCCCTGATCTCTGACTTGTTAATGAGCCAGAGCAGCTCAGCCCAGCTCACTCCTCCAGCCCTTCCTTGCTTCACTGTCCGCAGCTTCAATAAACATCCTCTAAATTTTTTTTTTTTTGAAAAAGAGAAAGGAGCCATATTGTGGAGGGAACGTAAGTGAACGACCACTGGAGACCAGAACAAATTAAAATTTAGGGAGCCTTTATTAGCCGGCCGATGACTGCTCTGCCTTTCTCCACGCAGGAAATCCAGAGAGCAGCCCCGACCCTTTGTGCAGGACCACTTTTAAGCACATTTACCACATCCTGTTTTTGCAGAGCAAGCAACCCAAGACAAAACAGTTTTTCCCAAGCCACGTCAGAGTTGTGCCATTGACAACCATGTTATTCACAGGGTCCTCCTGTTCTTCAGAAAGCTGATAGTGTCCTGTGAAAGAAGGCCCACGTGCTGGGAAGGGGCCATGAGGCCCTATCTCAAGGCCTGGCCCGGTGTCAGCACGGACAACTCTATCCGGGGCCTATGCATGTTCAACAATTCCCACTCTCTAGCAGCCAGGGCGGCTGGATTGCAGAATAAGGTCCATGTCACAGCTTAGCGGACACTCGGAGGTCCTGTCTCATCCCTGCAAGGTCCAGATAAGACCCCTTCCTTCCGGACTCCGCTCTGTCCCAGAGCCCCACGTGGGACATGCTTGCGTGGTCGCTCGGGGAGGACACAGCACTTTGGTCCCGGGTGTGACCTGCCTGACTTGGCAGAGGAAGTTCACAGCCTATGATTTATGGGGAACAAAGCAGAAACTGAGCCGCCGCCGCCAATAGTCCATGGCACTAACTCCTCCCACAAATATTTGCTGAGCTCCTTCCTGGGTGTACAACTGCCAGTTCTATCCTGGTCCCAGCACATGCCTGGGTTGCAGGCTCGATCCCCAGTAGGGGGCGTGCAGGAGGCAGCCGATCCACCTTTCTCACATCAATGTTTCTCTCTCTCTCTCTCTTGTCCTAACCGGCTTGGCTCAGTGGATAGAGCGTTGCCCTGCAGACTGAAAAGTCCCAGGTTCGATTCCGGTCAAGGGCATGTACCTTGGTTACAGGCACATACCCAGTAGGAGGTGTGCAGGATCGATGTTTCTCTCTTTCCCTCTCCCTCCCTCTCTTTCTAAAATCAATAAAAACATCTATGAGCCTGGCCCACATGGCTCAGGGGTTGAGCATCAACCTATGAATCAGGAGGTCACGGTTCGATCCCGTCAGGGCACCCGGTTCAGTGACTCTGGACACGGTGCCCTTTCCGGGCTCCCAGGGTCATCAGCCGTGTGACCCCGCGCGAGGGACCGCGTGTCTGAGGAGCAGAACAGTGCAGGGCCAGGGCCGCACCCCGCAGGGGCGCCCAGGCCAGGCCAGGCCGCAGAGACGGACCCGGAACAGATTGGTGTTGCCGAGGGCGGGAGGCTGGGAACTGAGGGAAAGTGGGGAGCGAGCCCTCCTGGGGCCCGGCTCCTTTGGGGACGATGACAGGCTTCAGAGCTGACGGTGGCTGCGGGCAGGGGCCTGGCCCGTGGGGGGAGGGGGGGTCTGCCTCAGGGCGGCCGGGAGTGTGTGTGGGTTCTTGGCTTTGTGCACAAAC